GAAAGGAAAAAATCAGGAAAATTTTCTATGCTTAAGTTGTGGGTTTTGGTAATTTTCGAACGACCATAAATTCTAGCTCATAATGAGTTAGAGGTAGTTCTTGATATGGTTTGAAATCCTTTGGAGACATCTTTATTAAACCTCCAAGTTTGCGCATTTTTGATATTTTATGAGGGAGATAAGTGTATCGGATATTGGGTTGTTGGATTGAGGAAGGTCCCAATCCGAATTTAAGGAAGGGCAAACTAGTCTTTTCACCAATTAATTTGGTATTTCATTTTAAGGATTAATTTTATTTAAAAACAAGTTTTAGTTCACATTAGAAAATTAACTTTACATTTAGGTCTTGGAGAATACAAAAGAGAAAAAGAAAAAGGGAGAAAGATCAAGGTTTCGACAAGAATGCCAAGAAATTTCGAGTTGAATTCGTCGGGGTGATCCCTATCAAGGTATGTGATATATTTCGTGTTGGTTTAATTCTTTAGCACACGAATCTTATTTCAATTCAGTGGTTTTAGAATTGTTTACATGATTAGAAGCAAATTCTTGATGAATATTATCAAATCCCTATTTGGTTGAGTTGTTTGAATGCCCATTCACGTTAATTCGTAGTTTTCGATGTTGTTTTCTGGTTAGATATTTTGGGTATTTAAGGTATTTATTATCCTAAGGGTTTTGGATAAGAACTGGGGAGGTTTAGCGAATTTAGCTTTAAAAGACGAACAGATAAGTTCGTCACCCACACCTAGGAAGCACCAAGCGCGACGCCCCCATATGCATCTGGGGGGCCTTGGGCGGCGCACCTTCAGTGCACCGGGATGAGTCCTTAAAAATAATGGTCTGGCGAAGCGTGCCCTGAATGCGCCTGAAACGGCGGTTTTCGCTGAGTTTTCGTAATTTAGCCTTTTTAAGTCATTCTAAGGCACAATAATAACTTCCATTGATTCTAATTACATCAAATGATTTATAAACACCTATAAATCATCAAAGAACACAAATCATAACCTTGAATCCATAATCCAATGCAAGGGAAGTTAGAATCAAAGTCAAAGAAGTTAGAGTCAAGTCTAAAGCTAAGAAGTAAGTCAAAACAATGTTCTTAAAGATTTTCAAGAGTATTTACTAAACCTTTAAACTTCATTTTAAGGCTCAAGCTTCAAGTTTAGTTGAAGTCTTTCATTCAAAGAAATATAAGATAACTAAGTATTCCCTAAGAGTAGATTAATACTCAAGTTTTCAAGTTATGCAAAGAGAAAAGAGTTGAGTTCATTTCTCAAAAGTTATAAGGGTAATGATTATTCTGTGAAAATTTATAAATGTTTTTTATATTTAAGTTTAAAGGAAACTATGATTTTTAAAAGAGATTTGAACAAGAAAGGAACATTGATTCCAAGAGAGCTTTTAAACCTAAGTGTTAAGCAATTATCTCAAACCAATGAAATGAATTTGTTTTTAAAAAAGGGATAATGTCCAAGTAGCCCCTCAACCTATGCCCGAAATATCAAAGACACACTTATACTATACTAAGATCCTATTATCCCCCTGAACTTATTTTATTAATAATTTTTTACCCCTTTTTAGCCTACGTGGCACTATCTTGTGGGCCCCATGATGGTTGACTTTTTTTTTAATCTAGTGCCACGTAAGCTAAAAAGAGGTAGAAAATTACTTATAAAATATGTTCAGGGGAGTAGTAGGACCTTAGTATAGTATAAGTGTGTCGGTGAGATTTCAGGCATAGGTTGAGGGGGTACTTGTGCATTTTCCCATAAAAGAATGAGCTAAAGTATATTTTGGGAGTAGTATTGAGCATCGATGTGGGAATGAGCATTCATGTTAATTCAAGTCTCCATGAAAACAATGAAGTCATCATGGGTATCAACGGGTCATACTTTTAAGATGATCATGTAAGTGAGGCTAGTGGATCCACTAAGGTAAGGAGTTCTATACAATGACAAAGTATACGATAATTCTAGTAGTGTGGGCAAGAATTTGTATCACCTCTTAGGCTCCTAGTGGTGGTTTTTGGTTAAACAATCTCCTATACAAACTAAATTTCTTTATATATATTTAAATTTGAGTTTGTTATTGCATTTTCTTTAACGAAATAAATTTATGCATATATATATATATATATATATACATATATATATATATAGGCTAATTCATAGATCTTAGGGATTTGATTACCAAGGAATAGAGACTTTACATATAAAGCCCGAGGATTGTCATTTTTTATGTATATGGGGACAACTATCTACGCTGTCAATGTTCCTATGATGTAGCGCCTGGCGGGCTGTTAGCTAGTGTGTATCATCTTACGAGAATAGAGGATGTTGTAGCTCAACAAGAAGAGCTATGCATAAAAGTATTTTCCTCTAGGAAGAATCATAGAATTCCATCTATTTTATGGGTTTGGAAAAGCATGGATTTTCAAGAACGAGAATCATATTATATGTTTTGAATCTCTTACGATAATCATTCACGCTTGAAACGTATCTTAATGCTTGAAAGTTGGATAGGATGGCCCTTACGTAAGAATTATATTTCCCCCAATTTTTATAAAAATACACGATGCTCGAAATCTATTTCCACTTAGACAATTTTAGATATTCAAGGGTTGAACGTTTTCTTATAGATTAAGACTTCCAATAAAAGACAATAAGGGATTCATTAGAATTCTCACATTTAGTTGGAAGATACTTCTTTCGTATGGGTCACACCAATAGGATGAACCAAATGAGTTCTGCATTATGACCTTTGTACTGCGCACATTACTTAGACAAGTTCTAGAAAGGCATATAGAAAGGAATGGAGAAATCGAGTATAAAGAATTCTTATATGAAATAAATGATAAAGAAATGAGATAATATCGGATTCTATTTCTTTGGACCTGAGTTGAATCTTGCTATTTCAACCCCCCTAGATTCGGATTCTACTTTTAAGACTTCCCACAATTTACTAATATTACCTTTCTAATATGTAATACATCTTTCTAATATGTATTACGTATTCAAATTTATTTGAACAAACAGAGAAAAAAAGAGTAGATAGAATCCAATTCTTTTAGATACTTTATCTAAGAAACTCTACCCATCTATGTTCTAGATGGGGTATATCTCGCTAAATTGGATAAAGCTATTATTCTAATCTAGACAATAAAAAAATATGTATGTGAAATAACATAAATTAATTAGAAATTCATTATAGGGAAGAGAGACCTATACAATTTAATCATGTGCCAAGAACAAGACTTGAACTAGTGACACGAGGATTTTCAATCCTCTGCTCTACAAACTTAGCTACCCCGGCTATTCCCAATCTTGATTGGAGCCTCTAACATGAGGATAGAGTCCTTTTCGTATTTTCCTCATTTTATCACATAACTGGGGTCTATGTCAATTAAAAGGACAAAAGTTGAGTAAAATTTTTATCAAAGCCAGAGGATTTCTTCGATCTTCAAAAAGATGACTTTTTAAGTTTCAGTATGAGTAATGATATTGTATTAATCGGGAATCATTCAACTAGATATTCCTTGCTCAAAGATGTTCATTTTGATGTCTATCATAGATATCAAATTGTGATAAGACAAAGCCATCTACGCTTACAAAAAAGTTCCATTTCTAAAAGAATAGAGTGAATGAGAAAGATATGAAATTTGGAACCGGTAAGGAAAGGGGGTCGGATCAATAGTTGGGGAGTTAAATAGTCTTTTTGGGGATAGAGGGACTTGAGCCCTCACGATGTTTAAAGTCAATGGGTTTTCCTTTTACTGTAATTTCATTGTTGTCGGTATTGACATGTAGAACGGGACTCTATCTTTATTCTCGTCCGATTATTCAGTTCTTCAAAAGATCTATCACACTATGGAGTGAAGGATTCGATCAATGAATATTCTATTCTTTCTCCAATTTAGAATGGATTCACAGCAATTCTTCGATTTCTTATAGAAAAACTACGGATTCGGGTCATCATTAATCATTTGATAAAGCATTCAATACGTATGTATATATGTTTATCCTTCACTTCATTCTTTTTCTTTCTGAAGTATCGATGTAAAGAGTCCTCTACGGACGCATTTAACTCTATTTGTTAGAATAGATTTCATTGAGTCTCTGCACCTATCATTTTTTTTGAGCCGTTGTTTGTTCTTAGAAAACATGATTTGGCTCAGGATTGCCCATTTTTGTTAATTCCAAGGTTTCTGTAAATTTGAAAGTGAACACTTAGTATGTTTCCATACCAAGGCTCAATCCAATTAAGTCTGTAGCGTCTTCCAATTTCACTGTATCCCCCTTTCTTTTTGTTTTGAGATTAGGATCTCGTTGTGATTTCATTCCTTTTATTTTTCTTTCGTTCATAGTGGAACAATTGAATTCATTAGATACCGATTCCTATCTCGAAAATGTGTTTTCTCCTCTCTGATTTTATTAACTATCTTTTATAGGAGAAACTTTTTTTCCAATCAAAAATTATTTTATCATTTCGGAATCCGCAATTCAATATAGATGGATATATATCCGATCTATAAGTCTCGCTTCATGTCATTTTCCCATTCAATTTGGAATACTTGAATGATCTATTCTTGTTTTTTATCTACACTTTCCCCTGAAAGCCGAGGAATGTCTCATTAGTTATTACTAACCATTCCATTAAACAATTAGAATTTGAAATAAATATAGAATAAGAGATATATATGATATAGAATAAAATATACAAATATAGAATATAATATAGAATTGTGATAAAAAGTATTTCAAATGCCAAATAAATTAAAAAATATTTACCATTCAATTCAAATTGAAAATCAAAGAATATTAACAATATTTACAATCACTAGTTAATAATATTAGTGTTAGAATTGTGAGAAATCGAAATTCTAGATCGCTATATTAATCCTTATGCTCTAGAATATTCAATAGAAATTGACTAGTTATAACTAAGATTCCAATTCTAGTAGTTTAGTTAATTACTATGCATATAAGATTTCTGCGATGTGGGCCCGCTTAGCTCAGAGGTTAGAGCATCGCATTTGTAATGCGATGGTAATCGGTTCGATTCCGATAGTCGGCTTTTCCCTTATTTTTTTCATTTTTTAGATGATTGATAATGTTCCTTTGAAATCAAAGCATATTGAAATTCTGCCTTCCTCCTTTTCCAAAAGCTATCAATTAATTATAGGAACTTCCAATTATGTCAGCAAAGAATTATATATATATATATATATATATATATAATAGAAGGGGTTCTGTATATTTATCTTTTTCATCCATTTCTTCTTTTATTTATAGTATTTATAGTACAAGTACACTATTTCAGTAAACTTCGCTTCATTTAGTTCAGTTTAGTTTTAGTTTAGGATTATTATATAAAATAAAATTCCATAAAAAATAAGTAGAAATAAGAATAAATTCGAAATACTAAATAAGAATAAGGAGTCTTTGTGTCACGTTACCAAGTACCTCAATTCAAAAAAATACGTCGTTGGGGGCTTTACTAGGGCTAACTAATAAAAATCATAGAACTGAAAGTGATCTTAGAAACCAATCGCGTTCCAGTAAAAAATCTCAATATCATATTCTTCTAGAAGAAAAACAAAAATTGTGTTTTTATTATGGTCGTACGGAACGACAATTACTTAAATACGTTTGTATAGCCAGAAAAGCCAAGGGGTCTACAGGTCAAGTTTTACTACAATTACTTGAAATGCGTTTGTATAACATCCTTTTAGATTGGGTATGGCTTCCACTATTGCCACAACCCGTCAATTAGTTAACCATCGACATATTTTAGTTAATGGTCATATTGTAGATATACCGAGTTATCGCTGCAAACCATGAGATATTATTACCGCAAAGAATGAACAAAAATCCAGATCATGATTCAAATTTATCTAGATTCATCCCCTCAAGAGGAATTACAAAATCATTTGATCCTTCATCCATTCCGATATAAAGGATTATTCAATCAAATAATAGATAGTAAATGGGTAAGGTTGAAAATAAATGAATTTCTAGTAATAGAATATCATTCTAGTCAAACTGAAAGTTTGATAGGATGGACCATACGTACGGATTATATTGCCCCCAATTATGAAATACAAGATGTTCATTAAATAATAAGACAACTATTTCCACTTAGACAATTTCAGATATTCAAGGATTGCATGTTTTGTTATAGATTAAGCTTAACAAAAATAGACAATTAGGGATTCATTGAAATTATCACATTTAGTTGGAAGATACTTCTTTCGGATGGGTCACACAAATAGGATGAACCAAATGAGTTCTGCATCATGAACTTTGTACTACACAGATTATTTAGACGGGTTCTAGAAAGGCACACAATAAGAAATGGAGAAATCGAGAATAATGAAATCTAATATGAAAGAATATATATATATATATATATTGCATATGTCTATCTACTTTACATTAAGATATGTTTTCATGAGTTGAGCAGAGCCAAGGTAACTTCTTACTCTTTTAAAGTTTGAGGTTTGTTAGCATTCCAACTCGCATACTTGTACATTCAATGTAATGATGCTAGTTTCTCTGCATCGTATCATGATACAAATGCATATAATTGGGATCATCATCATCCAGCGCCTCGTTTATCCAGTTCAGCACTCTGTGTTAGTGATGAGCCTCCTTGTATTTTGGAGGACACATATTTACTGCTTTTTAGATTTCTTTTATAGGATGTCGTGGGATCCTTCCCAGCATCCATATTAGTATTATAGAGGCTTCATATACAATTATTCAGTCAGATAGTTTATTTTTTAGTCTCTCTTTGTTTGTAATCTCATATATTTTATATTACACTTAAGTGCCATTTGGCCAAGATATCTATTTGAATATTTCATGAGAATGATTCTTATATTGAATTAAGTCTTCAAATGATTTAAGTAAGTCAAGACAAGGTTTCTCTCAAGACAAACAATTGTCATTCGGTGTCGGCCACGTTCAAGGTATAGGCTCAGGGCGTGGCACATAACCCCTTTAATAATTATTAGTCATAGTAATAATATTATTTGTACTTGATATATTCTTTTTTTAGTTTAACTTGAATAATAAAATAAAGACTATTGAATTGTGACTGACTTGTGTCTATGGATGTTGCAAGAAAGTCAAAAAATTATGCAATGGTTTTGTATTTTTTCTTCTAATTTTGAATGAATAAAGTTGTAGAAAATTTCTCTTTATTTGTAAGACTTTATAGAAATTATCACATTAGCCTTTTTATTATTTATGTTTTTGATGGGTATTTATTATATTAATATTTTAGTTTGACTTGAATAATAAAATCTATTGAATGGTGATAGACTTGTGTGTATTAATGTTGATAGGAGCTCGAAATTTTTTGCATTGGTTTCTATTTTTTCTTTTAATATTCTTAATGAATAAAGTTGTAGAAAATTTCTCTTTATTTTATACTTTATAAAAATCTTATCGTTAGTATGTTATTAATTTATTTTGATTTAAATAATAACTTATGACTTTGTTGAGAGTTATCAAACAATTAATAGAATATTTTCCTCTCGCTCTATAAATATACATACAAAAAGTGACGTGACAGCTATCTATAGCCTAAAAATATATATATCTTTTTTCTCTCTTTTATTTAGTTTTCTTCTTTTATTTTTTCATTAATTATTTGTTTAACAATTTCAAAATTTATCATATTTAATTATAATTCATGGGTTATAAATTAAAACCTCCATCTTTGCATTCTTTACTTAAATAATATACCTTCTCAACTTTCTTCTATCTAATTTTAAGGAATCGGGCAATCTATAAATCACAATCATATATGAAGTTGTTTGATATTGATTTTCATGGTTTCCTTCTTCTTTTATATTCATATATATTTTTTTCGTTTTTGTTTGTTTTTTCTTCATTCTCTTCATGAATCATGTATTTAATAACTAAAAGAGAGAATATAGACAAAGTGATGCAAAAATATGCCTCCGTGTTCATGAACATCATATATATGTGTAACTTATTATTTTTGTATCATAGTAGAAAAACACGAGGACATGTTGAAGACATTTTTTTATGACAACGTAGATTAGTTTTGTACAAATTTGATAAATTGAAGAAGAAAATAAGTGGCGGTGGAAGTTTCATCAAGAGAGATGATCAGATTAGTTTGATCAAATTGAAACTTGAATGATTTAAAATATATAGAGATACATTTATTGTTACTTATTTTTAACAATTTGAATTAGTTATTGTATGTGTTCTCCAAGAACAATATTATTTGATAAAGTTAGGACTGTTACATGCATAATTTTTTTTATACCGAGTAAATGTTAACTTTTTCATAAATAATGTGTTGGTTTTTCTTTGAAAACGATTGTTGATTAATAAAATTATATCTATGTATCTACATAATAATTGTTGGACTAGAATAGTGTAGTATTTTTCTCTTTACTTTAGTAATTTTATTTTCTTCTTCTTCCAAATTATTATTAAACTTATTATTAAAATAAATGTCTTAATTACCTATTTGGAAATTGGCCTATCATTTTCTATGATTAATATTTAATTATTTTGTTACATAATGTACAAATGTCAAAATATTAAAATCACATTTTTAATCCTCTCAATTACACTGACTCTTCATTCTTAGGAATTCGTATATTAAATGTATTATTTATTTTAAATGTGAAATGTACTCTTTAATATTTTTGTATATAAGATAAGCACAACTAGAAGAATTAGGAATTTACGTATGCAAATTTTTAAGTTTTTTCTGCATAGCAATTTTTTTTTTACCTTATTTTGTTTTTTAATTTTAATTATTTTATTTTACTGATTTTGACATGATAATTCTTTAGGTTATTAAAAAGACAAAAAGTAAGTAATGAAGAAGTTATAACTAAGAGGAGGAAAAAGTCCGAATTAAAAAATATTGATGTAAAAAATTAATAATTTCAATTAAATAGTATGTACCTTATAGATTACTTGGAATAACTAATTTTTACAAAACAGAGCTATATTTCATTTATTATTCATAGCTTATGTTTTATGATTTAATATAAATTTATTTTAATTATTTTCATAACTGCGCGAAGCGCAACCAAGTTCACTAGCACAATAAATAAATGTAGAAAATCAAGCAATTATGATAGTTGTAACAACAATTGCAATATAAGGCAGTTGTTGCAATCACCATAACAATTGATACAGCAACAATAAGACTTGCTTATATTGTTGCAACAACTTCTAGAATAGTTGAATTATTGTAGTGAATTCTTCATAGTTGCTGCAGAAACTTCGTCAATTGTTTAAAATCACTGGCAGAAAATGAGGTGGAGAAGGAGTTGGATAAGGAGATAGTGGTTGTGAAAGAGGAGAAGGTTGGTTGTGTTTATTTTGATGGTGGAAGAAGGGGTGATAATTGTTCTGGCGGTGGCGAAGGAGGAGTAGGTGGTTCCGTGGTGGTAGATGAGAAAAACATGGTGGTGTGTCAATTCTTGAGTTATTCTTCTTGAGCCTATAATTTAACATCAAGATGAAAGTTATTTGGAAAATACTAACATTAATATAGAAGTTGGATATAACCTTGAAATAAAAATGGGAAGATACCTTCATTTGCTGTATGGGCAAAGAAACCATATTACTATCCATCTTACTAGTTTTGAAGAATGAATACTCTTTTGTAAGGGCCAAAAGCTCGCACACATGAATTTTTTTTTGCAGGTTTCAATGGAAACTGAAGAATCACCAAGTGTAAGCTCGAAATAAGATTTGGAACTAGGACAAACTAACTCAAACTTCACAGAACATCAGCCAAAAGAGCTTTGCCGAATCTATCTATGCTACTGGCATATTTCTTCATAATGCAACTAAGTTAATTCCACAACAAGCTGAACTTTTATGTAATCATCACGGAGTTGAATAAACCTGAATTCACATACAAAATAAAAAATTTCTATTCTAGTTTCTTATGCTAAACAAGAACCATCAGTTGAATAAAAAATGAAATTGGTATCAATTTGTAGGTTTCGTAACCCTATAATTAATTTATATCTCCTACATTGAAAAGTAAAAAACCAGTAATATGCT